GTCAAGACAATTATGAAAATAAATATAATTTAAGAAAAATAACACACAACATTATCAATGATTCCAAACAATGATGATTTGTTTTTGAATTATACAGCGTTATCAATGATTCAAGATACTTATACCATTCACGTAACTACGTAAAAACTATGTATAAGTATCTTATTTAGTTGTATTATAAATTGATCCCATATGTGTAACAGCCTATACGGAATAAAAGCAATATACGAGGCAGTGACGGAAAGATAACATTTTCAACAGTGTGGTAAAGTGATGCCATTGTGGTCAAACGAAATGACCACACTGGTCAAACCTCTTGGACATGAGATAAGAGGTGGAGTCGTGTTTCAGCTGCTGATCAGATTCGGAGTAGATAAGGTGACATCTGGCCTCTACAACTACTGATGGACATACCTTGTTTAATTAACAAAGGACTGACCGCCACTTAATATAAAGTGACCGCTGATTTCGGCCACCGTGCTGACCATAAGTCTAGTGACTGGACACGGAACTGCACTTTCGATATCATCACATTAAACATGGGAGACAAAGACACATTGACAGCGGCAATGGACGGTGTTTTCGGAATGGTCAACATACACTTACTGTTTATGGATGTAGGCCTGACCACGCGCATGTTAACATGGTCTGTGCTGGTCACTTATGACAATCGTTTTGTCCGTCAGTTGATCGCAGAACATACATGTAGACGTACATACCGGCACAAAAAGGATCATGTTTTGGACACATTCAAGATAATATGCCTTTGCATACGTCAAAAATATATTCTTCAGTTTCGTTTTGATGATATATATAATTAGATGGTAAATTGTTAACAGTAGTGTTTATGTGATGAAAGTGCTATTATACCATACCTATATAATTGCTATGTTGTATAAATTGTATGTTATCTTTTTATGTTAACATGCCTATAAGTTACAATGTAAATCATGAAATTATAACAAAAATTATAAAGATAAAATATGTGGCTAATAATTCCTATTGATGACTGCCGTTATTGTGTTAAACTATATTATATAATGTCAGAAGGACACACTTTGCTATATTTTAAAATATGTCTTGTATTATTCTCAGTGAGTATAGCTTATTTTCAATACAGGTGTAGTTGTTATAAGTTGTATTCACGTATCTACAACAGAGGTTAATTCTGCTAAACGTACAGTTGTTGAGTCGGCCACTCCATCTTTTCGACGGGCATTTAAATCCAGGGAATATCAAAACCATATATTATCTATATGCTCCTATCGAAAAGTGAACAAATCGACACACGGAATGTCGTCAATGAAAATCCAATGATTGTCACATATAATAATAAATAGTGTTTCAGTAAGTTGATAGATTTGTAAGTCTCTGAAATTTAAAGGAATGATTTATTAATCATACTTAATAAATGCTATAAACTCTGAAATGCTCGCTACGGTTTATTTTCGGTATTTTTACCATCACAATAAAGTAAGGGCTTAGTCTAACACACACAAAAAAGTTCATTTTTATACATATTCGACATATTTTATTTTTGTAATACCAGTAGCAGCGGCAAGTGATACTTCGTGTTAAATAAGACCAGCCAAATCTATCAAACTTACCTTGTAATTATATTGTATCTTACGTGTTGCTAGATATATTTGTTTTAAAATTTTCATTTTTTTCAAACAAGATTTCATACTCTGTATAAATACGGATTTTTTTCACATTTGTATAATATTAAATGGATGCAATTATATTAATGGTTCAAAACATTTCTCTCATTCAAGTTTCGAACAAATAAATAGTGAAATAAGTGAAGGCGAATTAAAACCTTTATTGTATCAGTCAGAAACGTGTTTATGCATCATCACTTTTACACTCCGTTCTATTTTACCCATTCTGTTACTCTTTCCACAGCCCCGTTTAGCTGTACAAATGGCCGGCGCTGGTGGAGCAGTGTATGATGATTGGGACAGGCATTGATTTGTCTGCTGCTTTCTCCGCTGAGTATACACGGACCCATGATAGGGGCGTACTAATAGACGGGACGATTCCAGTCCGGATAATCGCTCCGATAGCTATAGAGTGTGAGCGCGGACCTTAGATATGGGTATCGGATTAAGGGGACTAGCTTTGTAACGTAAAATGAAAACATTTTCATCATCGATAGATATATCTAGTTTTTGTGTGAAGTATGGACTTGTAAAAATCCTGTATGCGTTCTAGTGCTGTCCCCGTCTGTTCACTTCGCCTGATCCTCGATAAAATAATAGCTTTGAAATCGAGTCTCACATGCAGAAGGCACGGCTCCAAAATGTAAAGTATGCTGGTACGACGGACGGTCGGAGGTGTGACTCCTCCCCCTCCCGGGAGGGGTAAGACATGAGGACTCAGTGACCCAACACAGATTCCTCAGATACTCTTCTGACGTATGTCTAACTATCACAAATCAGCGCCCATTTGTTCGCCTCTATTTTCTACCAGATCGGTAGATAATAATTAATTCTGTGCTCACATATCTACGTTTTACGGCTAAACATCATAGTGCTTACATAGCCACGGCTAAACATCATAGAAGTACACGTCTGCACTTTCCTCTATAGCACAACAAGTATCTCCTATCTCATCTTTTTATGAATTTGTACTGTTAGAACACGTAGAAAAAACCACACTCGTCGTTTTGAACTTCGATGATAAAAGACCTTGTTTTACAAGATCAGCTTATAAAGTTCGGTATCTCGGTATTTTTAAAACAATCAGAATATCTATTTATAGAAGGGTAAATAGGTCTAGCTGTTACACCTAATGCTATTACAAGGGTGTCGACTAGATATCGTCCTACACTTTATAGGAGTAGTTGAACCGTACGTTCCCAGGATTACTGTTTTATTCAGAATTAGCTATCATATGATAAGATGATCAATACTTGGAAGTAATTGAAATACAGATGTACTTTTTAAGTCGGCAAACTGTCATCATTTGAAATATTCTAGTGCGTTTTGTTTATTTCATAATGTCATTTCGTATTATTTCAATAACATATTTACTTTAAAATATTCCGTTTTATTTTGTAACGAAGGGCATTCTGACATTACTCACCGAATCATTTTATCAATGCAGAGAATAAAATTTTTAACTAAGTTTGCATAACCATTGTGTGTTTTTTACAGTTAGTATTTACTCTATCATTACAGATATCATATCGTAGATTATACCCCTCAGTATTATATTTGTTATAATTATAGATTTAAACCATTTTGTATAAGATTGTCTAAATAGCGTTTAGTGAGAAATAGATGTAGAATTATCATGTCAATATAAAACTACACAAGTACGCATACATCATACACAAACATTGTTATTTCAAAATTGTCTGGAAATATTATTTTATGCATGATATCTATCCTTTATACCTTTCAAATCGATTGGCCTAACAACCTCCGCACTGCTTATGAGTAATAAACCTTTCAAATCATTCGGCTAAGTACAAAACCTCATAGTTTCAATATCGTATATATGGTGCCTTTATGTACCATATGTTGACACTCTTTTACATATATGAATATATGTTTTTATCAATATATGTATGATTTATTGATACATTTTATGTAAACCTATTAATTTACAGTTAATCAATTTTACAAGCATATTCATGTTTTCGTTATTGGTTTTATGTCAATAAATCAATCAAGAGAATTTTTTTTTTTTTCTGATTGTTTTTTTTGTGTAAAATTGATCGTATATCATCACCGTTAAAAATAGAACACTTGTTTCTCGTTTTTACTGATACATACCTGTGGACAGCTTGTCGGTGCTATTATAATTTTTCAACATTAAATGTGTACTGACACTTTGACATTGATTGCTTCCTCGTACAAATGTATTTGATTACCACAAAAACAACGAGACATTTGCCGAGCATTCCACCACGTGTAATCATCCCTACGGTTTAGTTCATGTTCCCCACTTCACCAATCATTGATCGTCATTGTTATACATTTGATTGAGGATATTACATTTAAAAGGTGTCTGATTTAGAAGGCTTGCAAATGACTTTTTACATAATGTTGTTCACTTGTTATTAAATTACAAATGATAAAATCAACAAATTTTGGTGCATTTTTCTTTTTTTATATATTTTAGATTTTTTTCTTTAGTTTCATTAGATTCCATATGTATGTATTATTTTCATTATACAAATAAAGCTAACAACGATTCATTTGGCTGATTTCGTAATTTTGCATATAATTGTATAGGTATAGTTGTGAGTGGAGGAACATGTTTTTAAATAACATGGATATATTGCTTTAAGATGCAATATTCTTTCTATTTTTCCATTGCAACATATACAATCTATTTAGTACAGGTATTTAATATGAATATAAAACGGGTTATTATATCAGGCATACCTATATACGTCATTTTCCAAAGTATTTTTTTTCTTTTTTTTTCTTTCCCCACAGTATCATTAGTAAAATGTTATTACATTCAGCACGGTATTTATAACGAAGATCATTTTAAATTTAGACATATTAAAGCACAAATGCAAATTTTGAAACAGCTTTTTCGTAAAATTATTGAGAGATTTCTATTGTCATCATTAAAGGTGTATACATATACTAGTTTTCATTTGACACGAAACATATTTCTAGACGAACAGATTAAAATCAAAACAGTGAATTTACACGAAAGTATAACGTTACGTAAAAAGATATCGCCCCGGTACATTGTAAAATGTATCCTGAACGATACATCGCCTTGGTAAACTGTAATACTTATCCTCGACTATACATCGCATTGGTAAGACTAATCCCCAACGCAAGCAATGTTTGTTTTGTCATCATATCATCTGCAAATAAAATATTTAGTTTTGTTCTCCTTCAGGGTTTTTTAATGTATTTATCATTTCTATAAACAAAGTATACCCATTTCTGAACGCCCACTTTATGATAAAAGGTTCAAAATATTAACAAGGAATACGACTGTATACAGTAATAAATAATCAAAACTTAAACATATGAAAATCCATGTAACGTTTTTATTCAAAAATAAAACGAACAGCTACGTCATAAATACATCGACACATAGGAGTTGTAGAGAGACGTTTCAACACTGACACATGGAATGACACTGACAATAAGGGTCCGAAAACAGACCCTACTCGGCTCAGTATATACGATACTGGCCACACTAACAAACGTCGACACGAAAACATACCATCTTAGAATAGTTTAATTAAAAAAAGTTATCAAGCTATTTTAGATAATACATTTTATATCTTTAAATAAATAAGTAAATGTAATTTAGATATAAATCGTACCCATATGTTTATGGTTTGTTTAAGTTAGATTTTGTTCAAGAAATTGTAAAATAAATAAATTTAATTTAAATATGTATTGAAATTGTCAGAAGAAAATGAATGTTAAAATTCAGTGTTTTATTACAAATGTATAACAAAGAAGTATCTAATACATTTCGACAAGATTTAATAAATTGATGAGATAGATAAAAGATAACTGTTTTGTCAAAACCGAACATTTCTTTCACATTTACTAAATATGTCTTTCTAATTGCAAATGTATTTAACCATCACATGAGTAATACGACTTAAAATTACTATAAAGTTTATCACTATTTACGTTTTCAAATAATTAATAACGGGTTATCCGTATTAAACGACAATGTATGAAGCCGGCAGGGAGACAACACCAACTCCACTTCAGCACGAGGGTAGGGATGTCCATGTGTCTATTATTACACAAAATGAATGCGTTACGTACTAGTGACGAACGATTGGTTTTGTAGAAGACAGATATGACAGTACAAGGAGAGAGTCTGACCCCCTCAAGACGCTCTCGTGTAGAAGATCGGTGAAATTAAGTACCATGAAAGTGACAAGGAAGCTATCGCGTGAAGCAAGTCAACAACACTGTCAATACATAAATGGACACGTTACCCTGTAGGCTGCTGTCAATCACTGCTAATTTTGCTGTAAGAATCATTAAGTCTGGGTAAACACCTCTTCTCTCACAGCACTTAGCGAAATATTTAGCACTTAAGTTTAAACCGAGTCTTTAATAATCTCCACGTAGCTATATTAACCTTTCAATCCCAGCCGAACAAGCTCAATATTGCGGGGCGAAGAGTCAAGCCTCCACGCCGCCAATCTCCTGAGGTCACTATCACCTGAGCACCTTGGCCCAAACGTCCTACACTAAGTCCGAGACCTACAACCGGTCTTGCATGGGCCTTTTATGTGTCCTTACTTGGGTCCTTCATGAGTTCTCTCTGGCCCCCAAAATGCCATTTATTTAAGGTTATGTGGCAGGAGGGAAGCTGGGTGGCAATATTGTCACGCACAAGTCTACATAGAAATGCCCTGCCACCATACACCCATCACATCAGCCAGCTAATTCGCTAACTTTGTAATATCGTCACTGAGAAGTACCCGGAGTATCCAACACTCCTGATTTTATATAAATTAGCCGAGAGGGTTAGAGATTCTGTCAGCCGGTCTCACGTCTCTAGTAGGGGAATATATAGAGGAGAGGGGAGGATATGGCCTCAGTAGCGAAGAGCTGTTAACGGGGGCCGTGAGTCCATTAAAGTTTGGTGAGACGATCGGTTTGTCACTTTGGGGACTCACATTTGTGTAACCGTTCGTGTTTGGTGAGAACATGGAGCTACCGAGTGGGAAAGCACTATCCATCCAGGGTCGGACGGTCGAGGTGGTCGGGATGTATGGAGCGCTCACCCGCGAGAAGTTCAGGGGAAGGCTCTGATCAGCGGAAGTCGTGGATGAGGTAGTGGTCGTAGATGACGTAGCTACGTGTGCAATGGACCATATCCGAGGTCGGAGTGGGTCGCTGTGCTCGATACTGGAGTTGTTGAGAGATAACGAGCTGTTGACGTCACTAAGACCGGAGTCGCTACTATTAGAACAAGGTGACTCAAGTCGCTTAGAGTCGGGCATGGGTGGCTTGAGTTCTGTTACAGATTTCTGGAGACTCGAGGACATGAGGCCCGTGTCATCAGTAACGATACCCATCGGGACCATGCCTAGCAAGTCTGTCTTCAGAGGGAACGTATCCCTAACAACATGGTCCATTTTCTCTTTCTTTAGATCTGAAAGAATAATAAATTTGTTGTAGAAGATTTTAGTTACAAAAGGAAGACAAATTAATGCATTTCTGATTTATTGCAAACTTCTTTTTTTTTGTATCTGCAAAACCATTCTTATATTGTTTATAATATGATTGTATGCATAGCTGAAAAGTGCGAATTTATACATAAATGTAGTATTGAATATACAATTCAAAACGTTGAATGCTATTCTTACACTTAATTGAGACTCATCCACCACTGATTCGATTTACATTGGCTACCTGATGGGGGATCGCCCACACACAGGTGAACCCTCATATCTACATTTTGTATGCTTAAGCGAATTCGTTTTGGGTGGACAGAAAAGGGAGAAGAGATTGGGTTTGGGGGATCTCTTGTACGTTTGAGTGGTCTATTACCCATCAAACGAGGAGACATATCAATTTGACGGAAGACATTTCTACTGTACTAATCCCTTCCCTGTCATTCCTGGCCACGTGATATTCCCGTCCCGTCAGGATTAAGTGTCGCACAAAAGGTAAATCTCCCAGAAATCAATATCTTGCAGCACCTGCATAAATCCCCCATCAAAGGGACAGTGGACCACCAACCGGGAAGTACAGTAACGGTAAAGGGTGGAGAATGGGGGGTTCTTCCTCCTCATGGGAAAACCTAGTCAGCCTCACCAAATACGTTACAGAAACTGATATATTAGTTGAGATGACTCCATATCTAATGACATAAATGTAACTTCAATAGTTTTATTATTGATTTGTTTTTTTATGATTTGAATTTATTTTGAACCTATACATTATTTTTAAATATAAATAGTTCCATATTGTTTTGTTTTTATTAGTTCTTGTTTTATAATACATGTAAAAGTAAAAGTAATCATCATATCATGATATTTAATTTAAAAAAAAGAAGTTAGAAAGGAAATATCTTAAAGTGGATTAGAACAATATTTGCAATTATTTGACGTAGCATTATTTTTTACGACGGAGGTTTATTAATCATAAACAAGTCTGCGGTATACCTATCAAATTAACTGATACATCAGTATCTTAGGGTTAATATCTTTGTACAGAAAATAGCACAGATACACCATGAACCCGTATATAAAAAAATAAATACAACCAAGCAGGCACAGAAACGGCAAGATAAAACATGCTGAATAGTTGCAGGCATGTAGTATTTTGTGTGGAGCACTGCTATTTTGAGGATACTTTTCAGCCATTCATTAAGTCAGTGATATAGTCGCAGTACATTAACAATACATTATGTAAGAAATTATCATATCATATCTATCTTAGATAGATTAAGTAGGAAATTCATGGAATAACCCGCCAATGTTATGTATTACGGAGAAGTAAAGGACTGTGACAAGTAAATCACGTGGCTGAAGACAAAGTGATCAGTTTTAACATGGTGCTTGCTATCTTATATATTATCAGCTTTTATGAGTGATTTCAAGATATTTTCCCTTTTGTTTTGGTGTCTCCTCCATGCCCTATTTTCGTTAGTTCTTATCAAACTTTGAGTTCTGATTTTACAATCATATGTTACCGTTGTGGTATTTTCTGCTATTTTGCTTTGCATATACTATGCCACAAAAACTAATGTGATCAAATGTAATATTTTACCAGATATTTAACTAACTTTCTGATCATATGACAACACAATATCTTGCCGATACGCTAAGCAGCTATCGCGATTATGTTTCAAGTTATTTTCTTTATATACATCATAGTATTAAATATTCACTGTACACTGTGCAAATGCGAGCATACTCTTATCGTGAATAATTGATTCCTGTTCGTCAATTTGATTTTGGATTAAATGTTGTTTTCTAGTATGTGTTAAACTGCAATATCCTGTTGTTTACTCGTTTTAATATTATTGGTCAGAATTCTAATTGTTAAGTTTATATTCAACACATCGTGTTAAATGTTTTACGCTAAGGAAAATGTCTTTATAAATAATACTGCCACATTATTTTACTATTTATTCAACTTCATATTTTGACTTACAGTGAAATTAACGAAAGCCAAAAACAAACTATGTATAGCAAAGGAAAAATGTTTTGAAGACAGATATGTTTATGAAATAATTGCAGAGTGGATGATTGTGTTGTAATTTAGTTTTCACATACAAAACGTAATATTATTAACGCAAGTGATGTAATAAAATTAGACATTAAAAATAGTTATAGGTTAGACATTTTATTTGATTAAGATTTAAAGTTGTTAAAATAGAAAATAATATATTACAGCTCCAACACAAATAGGAAAACATCAGAATATAATGCGATAAAAACAGCGACACAAAACACCCTCTTAAACTATAGTCGAGATTCGATGCTGAGGTAACTCCTATCATCACACCTTGTTAGCGATATTATAATAATCATAACCAAGATAAATAATATTTATAGCGACCTAACTTGCACAACAATTACTGTGGAAATATATCGTTATATGCATGACTTTTAGCTGTTTATTCCTAAGAGATTAAAGATCAAAATAGTTGTTACAACTTGCCAAGACCAAACGATGTCTTAACAAATAACTGACAACAGGATGATGATTAACCAGCGGTAGGTAACGATGTAGATAAATACTTGTGGTTTGAGGTACGTGCTGTTTGCCCTCCACACAAGGTTGAATCAGTACGTGTTAATGTGGTATTGTCATGGTCATGACGTCTCTTTGGTTTGTAATTTAATACAGATATTAAATAATAAATTATGATTTGTATTAATAATAATAATAAATCAAATAATGATAACTATGTTTAGCAAAATATCAATCAAATAATCTTTCCGTTAACGTACTTTTAAAAGTGAATCAAAACAATTAGTGCTGTAATTTATGACCTTTGTTTTAGCTTGTGACCACGTGACCACGCTAAGGCACTGTTTAATAACATACATGATTTATATACTTTAAACAATTCTAAAGTGACATTGATATTTATTTTATTTAATCATGTCGAATTCGTCACCAGTGATCTTTCATAATAGCAGATCACACATGGTTTCTTTATACATGTAGTACGATTACAATCATGAAAATGAAAATATCATATTTGTTTTAAATGTAATACTAGTTTCAACTTAGGATACTATTGCTTAAAATGGGACTCGAATTTACGTCTAAAAGTTAGGATTCTTTAAAACAATTTGTTTTACGAATATGAAAATTGCACCGAAATACAGAATAGAAGTGATTAAAATCCCCCATAACGTACATTGAAGGGTGAAGGGCAGCTCATCTGCTTAATATAACATATTTAAAGCTATTTGTACAACACAAAATAAGTTTATTTTGAAATATAACGAATTCGCTTAATATAAAGTTACAAATAATGAAGTTTTCTGAAGATATTACTTGAAATAAATAGTCGTCAGTTTATTAATTGCCCTGCTAAATTAAACGGAGTTTGTAAAGGACATCGCAGCATATATCTAAGTTTTCTAAAATCTGAATGCTCTAACAATTGTAAGCTTTATTCATATATAAATAAGTACTGTAAGGTAATATTCATTACATAAATCCTCATACAGAATTCATATGATAATTAACAGTTAAAGTAGAAAGAATACAATAATAATGACTACTATTGATCTTGCTGTTATTCTTTTCAGATCAGGACAAGTTTGTATGAACAATGATTTGCTACTGTGTGAACAAACTTTAATTGTAATTTGTTTCATAATTCATAAAGATAAAAATAAAAAATGCATGTGCAGGGATCACCATGCACATATTTTCTAAAAACCTTAAACATTTTTTTATTTTTTTTTAAATTTCGTGTCAATACGTAAATGAAACTTGATACACTTTGGCCTAGACTGTTATTTCGATTTTACGATCACGTTAAAAATAAATCAATGTATGCATAATAGTTTTCGAGCTCATAGATTATCGAGTGCTTTATATAGAATTATCTTTTATCTTACTCAATCGTCAAGCTTTCGCGTTGATAACATGTAATCTTTAAACACCAATACTATCTATAATTGCGATAAAATATCACAAAATGTTTGTCTGTCGGGTTAATTTATGTCATTCGAGATGATTCATACACATTCCACTAGGCAACCCATAAAATTAGAGAGGTCCGCCGCCGTCCAGGCGTATGGACGGGACACGGTAAGGACCGATAGTCTCCGAACTGCGTGATTAATGATTATGTCGGAGCTAGCCTGGCGATCAATGTTGTCAAAACCATTAAGAAATAAAACGTATTAGGAAAACAATTAATACCTGACGGAAGTAGGCTCTAGTAAAAATAACATAATTGACCAAACAAAAAGGGCAGAGGATACGTGAACTAATAGGTAATTCGTGTAAGAGAAGGCGCGCAAGCGGTAGTGGTGACGGACCAACGAAGTGTCTGTGCGCGAGACACGTCAGACTGACCGGCCAACAACTAATGGACACAACACATGTTAATTGAAAGAAGACAAATGAAGATCGTGATCTCTGTGGTTTTTTGCCTTTCTTTATTTCTTCATAATAGACAGTGGTGAAGAGGCGAACAATTAACATCAGTGTTTCATCCCTTTAATATCCCGGCTCCCGATGTGGCATGGACGTTAATGTGTGTTCCCGCACTTTTTACGACGGTCTCTGTCACCACACACCGCGGCGGTATCAATTTGTCTCCGTATTACACAGATTTACCTTCGGTTGAGCAGGAGATGAAGAGCGTTTTACAGCGTTAGAATCTTAGTGAACTGATTGACGTTCTTTCGACTCCCGGCGTTGAAAGTCGCCGTTATTATTTCGATATATGCATGCATAATATATTTCAGAAAATGAGTTTTTTTTCTATTGCCGTAAATATTTTATTACTATTATTATAACAAAGAAATAAAAGAATGAAATAGTTAAACGCATTATGAGACACGAATAACTGTCACCGAAATGAAGCCAAGATCTTCTGGGGCTAATAAATCGTATCTAATCCCCTCTTAAATGATAGCGTGTTTAAATTTGTCAAAAAGTGTTGGATCCACTTGAGTTACGATAACTAATGCATTTAAAAAGAAAATGTCCAGGCGGACCCGGGTGGTCGGGGTAGCGAGAAGTGGAAATCGGCACGGCGGTCTGGACCACCGACAGGGGGCGCTATCTCACACTGTTATCTCGAACGCTCGTGTGAAACATGGAACAACTTAAAACGCAAATATCTCACAATCTACGATTACCGACTATTACCTTATAAATGTCCAAGTGAGTTTCCTCTATTGATTTAAAAGACAAAAGCTTGTTGGGCCCGAGCGCAAGCCGAGTTGGCGCGGAATGCCGCGTGAATCTAACGACATTGCTATCGCTTGTCTATGCAATATCTGTTTCCATATCAAAAATCTCATTCTAACTAAAAACATAACAGAAGCGTAAAATATCCCCTAATCTTTTACGGACACGATTAATTGTGTCACGTGTACACGTGGAGGGTATTTTGACTGTGCGCGTGCCGATCAAAATTAATATAAAAAAATAGATTTAAACTCAAAGTTGTTGTTTAGAAATGAACAGTGAGGAATCATTGCCGAGTCTGAATACGTGCCAAACATGATGAAAATTATAGGCTACTATTTCATTTGTTTGCGGCTAAGCTATCGAGGGGGAGGCTCGGCCATTGTTCAATTGAATGGAGTACAATCGGACAATGATGACACAGCAATCAGCCATTCATAGAAAGCAATCTGCTGAAAAATATCGGCTGTAATTTAGCTGTGGCCCAGAAACTGGATAATTATTGGCGATGACAACGACAGCATGTGTGAGAAATCTCGACGGGCGACTCGCCATTTCCGAGCAAACGAATGACAGCGCGTGCCTTCCAAATATTAAACAGATGTAGACCAAAGATTGGCTTGGAACCGCCGCCATTACTACCCACAAAACCAAGGATATCTCCCCGATGAAAAATTCCCAGTGAAATGAAATACAAACTTTAGATTACTGAATACATTGGCGGAAGCTGGGTAATGACCTGCTAGTGTGTTATAGGTAGTATGCGTCAGTACCGATTCGTCTGATACGACACCGGGTTTATCACTCACATTAGTAAACCAAAAAAACACCGGCCATGATACAGGCCCTTATCGTGTTGATCAGTGGTTGTTTTTAAAGTTAAGATATCAAAACAAAGCAAAGTGCATGAAAGTAAAATTAACGAAGGATTTTCATGCTGGAGGTGGACTCCAGCAGTATGAAATGTTCCGTCCAGCCCCATCTAACTTTCCCACGATATGGGCAGGTTAACGATATCAGAGAACAAATGACAACGTCGTAACACTGACCATGATTGTCAGATGTCCAAATGTTTCATATATATAGATCTATTAGTGGTAATAATTGGATAGGTTTGTGGTCGATATTTTAAACACAGCTTGACGTCGTCATAAATGCATAGCCCCTCATCATTTCCTTCAACATTGCACCAACGTAATTTTCCCATCAACATTGCATCAAAGTAAATCATAATGTTTCTATTTGAAGAGATGATTAATTGATTCCTTATACATCTATTTTATCATTTTATCGTGAGTATGCTTAAGAAACAGTTTATGCCTAATGAGAAAAAATATCCATTACAAAATCATACTATATTAGAGAGGTCGATTTGTTTCTATTTATTATATAATCTCTTAATCAAAGTGAATTTATTCTTAACTTTAACTAAGCCATGGATAGATTTATTGTATATAATGTAGGGAAATTAAATCGGCGTTTAAATTTAAAGTTAGTAACATCTTTTCCAATGTGCCTTGATCAAAACGCCTCTGAAGATCTGGCACGGTAAACACCGTTACGCTAGCTATTTCACTACATGTACTTAACGTACTATAGAGTCACAGTATTCTCTAAACTTTGCCGTATAATAACTATTGTCTTAATACTATTTTAATAGTACATTATCAACACTAAAAGATTTGTTCTATCATAACTGTATCTGGTACGGTGGGGACAAGGAGACACACTATATGAATTGTTTATATGTTTGTTTGATGGTTTCAATGACTACACATATAACATACCGAAATTGTTAGGAGAAGGCTTATATAGGCTTTGCCTAATGCCCTATCCCTTTGCATATTTTTTGCAGTAAAATTTGTTGAAATGAAAAAAATAATATTTTACCAGATTTACTTGCAAATTCATGACACTGTATTGCTGTATCTATGTTGTTTTATTGCTATTTACTATTCCATTAGTTGAACATTGTCCTACCTTTTAACGTATTTTTTCGAGTGGTCTTTTCCCGAGCCAATTTTAACAAATCATTTACATACTTACTTATTACTATTGTCTCATTTGTCAGTTTTTCTATGATTTGATTGCTTACACTTAGCCTTTTATAGATATATTGTCATGCCATTAACATATTATTCATTATTTTTTCATTGTAATATCAACAATACTTGTGACAAAGTCTCGTACAGATTACAGCATTTGTTTGTCGAGTTATAGTTGAAATAGACAACTTGTTAATGACGTATGAATTTAGCATCATAGAATGATCTATTACAGCTTAATTCAGTTTGAACATTTTTTTTTTATGAAAAATGAATTTCAAAAGTGTTACAACAAAAGTCCGGCTCAGATTCTTACCAATATCAGGTTCTAATTGCAATTACAAGTACCAACGGAATTTATCAATATTTAACGTTATTTAAGTGTCGAAAACTCCTCCAATCATATGTATTTTTAGCAAACCTGTTGCAAATGACATTCTTTTCTCATTTGCGATATAACCAACATCCTTTTGCATCGTTTGAAAAGGAAGCTACGGAATTATGACGGCTGTGTTTTTCTAACAATTAATTGTGTGTACAGATTATTCATCTAGAAAAAATAACGAGTCGACTTTGGACTTTTGCAGCAAATTGATGTTACGGGAACTGTGTTATTTTTAAAAAATTAGATATTTTTTACAAGGTTTTTGAACTAGTTTTATTGTACCACGTCTATAGAGTAAAAGTACAACGAGTCCATCCAGGCATGTTATTGAAGTATTAGGGTTGAGTAATATGTTCAACTGAAAGTGCTGATTTACAACAACCATTGACGTTATCTGGAACGCATTGGCGTACTTGTTGACTACATGATGTGTTCTTCTAAGTGCAATCTAATTAGTGCTTCGGTCGCTGGTGCAAAACAATTTGAAGCCATATTCAGTTGTAATACTAATAGACAAAAATAAACAAACATATTTTTAAGTCACGAATACTGTTTGCACAATTTTACGAATAGCTTCAAAATTATGTAAAGGCGTGGTACAAAGAATGTAGCTTTACTGCACTGCATTAATAATAGATAATGACATGCATAAATAAGAGGTCGTCACTAATACTCATTCTAGATGACACGGTGATTAACATCCAAGATTTGTATTGCTTTGTTTGGGGAACATCCAGATAGGGTATTACACAAATTAGTAGATAATGTATAAATGTATCTTAAAATGAGATAACCTTGAAAAAATTATTCGGTAGAGACTCTATATATAGCCCATCACAAAACCTTACACAAGTGTTTTAGAAATACATAAGTGGATATCTGTTAATGATATTCCTTTTAAATAAAGATTCATTTCCTTTTAGTTAATATTGATGTGACATTTAAACTACTATCTCAGTGATAATGGTGCATCTGTCTTCGTTTTAGTAGGGATTATTTCACATGTTGTTAAGAAAAAAAAGATATTTTCAATACAAAGACATTTTTATTTCGTTTGTAAAAAGTATTAAATACCTATGCAACCAGTTGTGAAATAAGGACCAGTGTCCTGGTGTTCAAAGGTAAGATTGGTATACGATAGTATTTGTCATTTTTATGACCAATATTTAGGTATTGACGTGTGTTTTGTTATACGCTCTATGTACTCCTGGTATCTCCTGTTTTACAACCAAACTGAGCCAGCATTAGATAGGCTGAATTACAGCTGCTAGCCTGGAAAACTTATAATGTCAAGCAGAATGTTAAACTCGTGGTCTACCAGTGGACTCCAAGTGATTGTATACAAGCTCCATTCTCCACCCTCGTCTACTTTTTACTTGCTATATATGGTAAAGGAAATGCCTGATGCAGTTGGCATAACTATTTTTCTGTCAAACTTTATGATTTTGACGATAATATTTGTTGCAACGTATTAATATTTTTATGTTTCTACACTTTAAAAATAAAATTTGAAATTGCTACTGAATATCTGGTGTTACTTTATCGTTCAAACCATGGTCAATATCCCCATTATTTCCATTCAATGTCATGTATGCATGTCCTTGGTGATTGACGCTATGATAATTTGGTCTATCTTTTCTTGTCACTTTTTTGTATAACAGAATACCTCTACGTTAGCAAGAGATAACAGAATACATCTACGTAAGCAAGAGATACTTGTTGCAGCTTCTATAGATGTTAAATGAAAAAGCTGATGGATTAAATAATTGATTTTAAGCGATCAAATTGCAGATGATAGAAGTAAAAAGAATTTTCAACTCACCATCATCGATGCCATCAGCTACTAAATCCTTTACGCTGATATTGTCGTCTAATTTATCCTTTTCCTTTTCACAATCTTCATCATCGTCATCCAACTTTTCGTTGTCGTCATCATCATCGCCGTCACCGCATCTGTTGCGTGGCGACCACGTCATTTTGTTTTCCTTTTTGAGCCTCCTTCTGGCATTGGCGAACCACGTGCTGACCTGTGTAAGGGTCATCTTTGTGATGATAGCCAGCATGATTTTCTCGCCCTTAGTGGGGTAAGGGTTCTTCCGGTGTTCATAGAGCCACGCCTTCAGGGTATTGGTCGTTTCACGTGTAGCATTCTTCCTCCTTGCCGCACCGTTTAGGTCCATACCGCCATATCTGAAATCACAATCAAATCATAAGTTCCTGTTGTGACGCACGAAAATCAAAAATAAAATTTGAGCAAAAGCATTGGAATACAATCTGTTTTACAATTAGATGTAATTGGTTTTGCTTTTTTATTTAAGTTTGCTAATTTGGTCTCTGTGAAAACTGGTCAAGTGATGGAGAATGCACTTGTGGGTGTAAGGGGTTAAGCAACTGTGCATGCTTTTAACACTTACGTGTTGCCGTATGGGTAGGACGCCATTGCGGGGTCGTACGGGTAGCATGCCCCTGGTTGTGTGATGCTCCGCCAGGCGGCGTCAGCGTTGTCCTTCAGATCATAATGCGCATTCTACAACAAAATAAATTCACAATATTATCAATTGAAAAAAAAACCTGACACAATTTTATGCATTTTGGCTACTGAGCTGTACATGTTTAGTTAGACGGTCAAATTGACACACATTAAAATAAGAAATATATAGCAATTATGTACAACAAATACATGTACACATCAATTGTCAACTCTAAGCTCAGTACTGGTTCATACGCCGCTAACATCCATTATAGTCTGAAATAACGACATAATTGTTGAACAACTGTGTATGGCACTCGGTAAAATTAGCTCAGAACAATACTAGAAACATCGGCAAATAACACCATAATCGATAATTAGCTCGCAATGACACTGTAATACTATTGTAAAACTCTGTGTTAAGTGTTATCTCTATTACTATCCCCATCAATCAAGGGTTAACAATATTTAAACAAACTCGACTTCCTTATTTTAACTGATACTGCTGCTTGCCGTGTATATGTCTGTGTTACCGATATAATTACGTTGTTTGCATTTCGTTGTGAAGTGTTTCGTATAGGGAATGCCTGGGTGGAAGAGGGCCGTAATTACACATGGTGAAGTGACATGCGGAAGTCTGTCTCGGGAGGGGCAGACCGGAGATACTTGGAGGGGCTAACTAGTTAGGGAATAGTCCCGTCCGCAGTGAGGCTAATAAGAGTCCGATCACCCGGTGAGTTTTGAAGATTCGTAAAATTTGTGAACAAGCTTTAAGGTAATTGGGCCGAGGAGTGTAGGGGTTGTCGGCAGTATGGCGGACAGGAGTTGATCGCTATCGGCTCCCCACTGTAAAAACGCCATTTTATCGCGTCACCCTTGGAGTTTTATTTACTTCAAATTTAATTCAAGTGTAACGGAAGAGCAAGCAGTGCATCTCGCCGGAATCTATCTAAATAGCGGACAGTCTCGGAATATCACTAGGCAGCGGACATTCTCAGAATCTCCCTAAACAATGAACAGTTTCAGATCTCCCTAAGCGGCGGACCTGTCCTGGAAACTGTCTGAATATCTATTACCGTTTATCTATTACTGTATATTAAGATTATCCCATGATGTGGACAGTCCCAGATTCTCCCCTATAGGCCGTGAACAGCAGTAGAATTTCACTAAGTAGAGTCCTAGCTGTTTGACATCGCTCTGGAGCTCTTTAACAGGATGGAACAAACACACACACCATCATAGAATGATTGGGATTGATGTTATTCGTTGTTATGAAAGCAACCGTTGAGCACTCCTGATAAAATTTAATTTCCATTAGACACAAAAATATCGTTTTCAATAAAGTGTTGTAGAAAAATAGTTAGAACACGAATATTTTTATTCTAACACGGTGATAAAATAAAGATGACATGGTTCACAATGAACGGATAATGTGAAGCGTTTTGTAAGAGCCTTTTTCATTGTGTATTTTGAAGTTTCATTAGCATTGTATTCAGCTTTATAGGATTTCAAAAAGCCATGACGAAAAGGAGGCATTTTCTTAGCTTTACTTTTACCAACAAATCTTGAGGTAGATATGTATACCATGGCCCTTATTCCATGGCAAAATTTATTACTGCATATCGCATTTTAACTTGTAATAAAAAATATGTATTACATAGGATATCGAACTATATTTATCACTATCGCTGACCGTCTCATCCCTGGGAAATACTCTGAAAACAAGTAGAATGATACTGTAAATCTCTTTTTTTCGTAGAATTTTTTTTTTTTTTTTTTTGCGGTACAGTGTATATGAGTTTTCTTGATAACTGGGGAGGAATACGATCCCCATTTAAAGTATATAGTGAATATTTATTAAGATACATTTAACAGGGAACATACGGCAGCCTCTGTTCCTTTTGCGAATTGAAATACCTTCGAGTAACGTTTCTGAATGACATGTCGAAAATTAATTTACATTCGGCCAAAGTGTTTCACAGCATGATTTCCTCAACCACTTTGTCACCTCGACGCCAAATTAAATGCATTTATATAAATATATAAATATGACCATTTCTAGTTAAGGTTGATAACGAGCTACAATGAAGCAAAATAAATAAGATTCTACCGATGTGATATTTTATTGATAAGTAAATATTAACGCGTTAATATGACAGGTATGGTATACTGTTGGAGTTACCTAACCATTCAGTCTGATTTAATCAATATATCATACGTAAGCTTACAGTTTCTCTGTCAGGACAAAGAGGATCAATTCCACTAATGACTTCTTATATAATTGAAATAGATCTTCAATGACCAGAGTATATGCCTAAAACATTTATCAGCCATCCGGGGACGGGGCTGACAGATCCGACGTAGAGTGATAAGGACCCTGTCACCGCGTTAGTCTATGGTTAACGAGACTGTCAGGTCGTCCCCACCTGCGGCCACGTGATGTAGCGATGACGTAAATCACGAACCCCGCCCCCGGGCCTATCTAGGCAGAGTAAGCACCTCGGCCCGCGCCTGGCCCGGGGAGGCCGGCCATATATTACAGCTCTAGCACCTGTACTCTGTCCTGGCACACATCGATCTAATAGATTAGGCACTTAACTCCCAGCAGAGGAGACAGTTCATTTCCTAAAACATTGATTAGGACGACAAGACAAATATCTGGGTTTAAAGTTATGTTGAAATAACAAAGTGTATTGTCTGAGTCAACAGTGGTTATCACAATATTGACAGAGGACATCGGGATAAGTCGATGGCCTTTTATATGGCGGGAATGTTAACAGCGGTACACGCATCAAAGGATGAACAGACACGTGCTACGTGTGATAATGGACAGGTGGGCAGGGTACATACCTGTACCTAGGACGGGTACGGACTAGTGACCGATGGACGGACATTTTTATTTTTACATAAATATTTTTTGGATAGTAATATGAACAGACATATTTGGTACCTACAGCACATTTATTGGAGACGAATTGACATACAGATAGAGCAATCAAGTTTCTATCTTTAATGGAAATGTTGGACAGATATTTGATACATGTATGATATAGACGGATGGACAGTCAGATTGGGTACCTATACCTGTGACGGGATGGCGGACACAGAAACGTGTTACACTAATGTAGGGGGAGGTTTTACATTGTACGTACAAGTGGGTTACCTACATATTTTGATACGGAAAGACGGGTGGATAGGAGATATAATTAAAAGTGTCATAATACATATGCAGTAATTAATGGTTAGTGGTATCAGTGGACAACAGGAAGACAGCAGTCTTCAGGGGAAGTCGGTATAAGGACTAGCGATGGGGTACGGGTTAACATTCAGGGTGGTTCAGAAGTTACGTATAGAACCATTTAACCCGCTGTGTAGTGGTGAAGTGGGTTACATTGCAGTAGCATTATACAGATATTTGACAACAGTGACAGAAGTGTACAGCATAAAAGTAGATTGAATTGTGAGCTATTGTGAAGTTATACTCCAAATACATTTGATTAAATTACAATTAAATAACAGTATTTGAATGGAACATCCTAGTTTTTGTTTTTAAAATACCAGGAAAAGCATGTAAATCAATTATGTCTGGGGGAAGGTATTTTGATAACAAGGTGTCAAAAAGCTGTCTGACAAAAGGTAGATATGTAGTTTATGTACATGCAGCTCGTGTTCATTATGGTTTCAATACAATTAGGCGGTCATATTAACAGGGTTTATTAAACGTTAACACGTGATTGCGAACCAGAACACTATAACCAAGTCCTCTGCTGTATTCAGAGTTTTCAATATTTGTTATTGTTATATTTACTGAAATTTACTGTTATATTTGATCAAATAATGAATTTCCATTAACATCTTTATTACAAAATTATTATGAGAGTTCTTCATTTTAGCTCGCAAAAAGTTTCGCTTAAAGGAAGAATTCGTAGATTCATTTCAGTTTTCTCATTTAAAACAGAAACAGATTTCACATCCTTTTTTTATTACCCAATCAAGCTTTTATTAATGAAAAGTATATCATTTCCGATTATAGTTTATGACTTCACAATAGGCCATTTTACACGAGTTCATACCCAAAGTATAATATTTGTACTGATTATTACTGATAAAACGGTATCAAATATACATTTAGGACGTCCTTTATCCTTTATGCTGTTACATTACTGTAGATACTTTAATACATTTTCAATAGGAATTTTTTTCTGATCCGTTAATGTATGTCATCAAAATCATGTTTCATGTTTGGATCTCCCCGAGGCTAGTGTTCATGTCCAAGGTGACGAGAGGTTTCCTATGAATGCTGGGTAGAGTTCTCAGGGGAAAACATGTTAGATACTTATTTAGTGATATTCAATATATGAAATATCATTTATCAAAAGGTGTTAAAAAGAATAAGTCAAGCAAAGACTAACATGATGCCTCTAGATGTCTACAGAGTACCTAGTGATAGGGTATGGCTCTGGGTGGTATCCGATATCCTCCTATTTTTGCTTATCTGGGGTGTTGGACCTGGACATGATACATTTGTATTTTCCCCTGGGTGGTGAAGGGTACTGAGCTATATTATTCCCCCATGTGGTGTCTTGTATCTACTTCCAAATGGTACTACTTTGTATTTTCCGGAGAATGTCAATGAATTCCTGTTAACTTACCAGAGGGGAGTAGAACGCTGACGGGTCCGTCCCTAGGGCGGACACGTATCCCTGGGCAGTGTAAGGGGCGGTGCTGTACACGGAATCTGTGAGACCCGGTACCCGGGGGTAGGCGGACAGAAGGCCTGATCCGTACTGACAGGAGCACACCGTCTGTCCGGTGTGTGGGTCCGTCATTATGGGACGTCCATTCTCACAGCACGACGTCGTCACGGGTGGCAGGGCGGAGGGCGTGGCGGTCGACATCAGGACCTGCGGACGAACAGAGGGAATACAAATCAAGAATCAAATAGAGTACAGACGAGCAGACAGACGGAAAAAAGACAGAGACGCTAATTCTGCTTGTAAATTCACATTTTGATGCAACACTATCTATATACAGGTGTATACACTGCATATTGTCTAAGCATCAAGTCTAACCCGTTTTATTTTGCTCGATAACTTAAAGATAAAAGCATAACATCATGACAATCATGTTAGTAAATGGGGAAAAATAGATAATACCACTTTCCTTAACTTAACAAAGGAGAAATCATATTTAGTGAGTTGATTATGTTTGATTTCGATCACAATTGTATACCCTTAGTACTGACTCCAAGTTTTACTGCAGTAGTAATACCACGGCCATTTTTGTTTTTTCTATTTGTTTTTGTTTATTTATTTATTCTAATTATTTTACTGTATTTTATTATTTTTAGAAATATTAGCTTTAAGAACATGCTAGTTTATCTTAATATTTACAGTTAAACACACTAATAAATAATAATGAGCAATGTTAGACTGAAGTTGACATCTTTTGATAAAAAATACTTATTTAAACCACAAAATTCTGCTGAGATAATTAATAAAATAGGAAAATGATGTAAAACAAAAACAAAACGTTAAGTGGAATTTTGTGACTTTTTGCGGTATAATTTGGAATCCATATACAAGATTCTTCTACCTCAGTTTTTTTTTCCAATAGTGTGTTTACCTGTGCTACAGGTGTACCGCTATAACTATAACACAATAATCTGGAGACTTAAGACAACACAGACACTTGACGTTTATCGCCGTCAATATAACCACGTATACATTACTCAATCGCAATATCAATCCGAGTTTGATTTTTTACTTAATCAGTCATTATTTAATGGTCTGTGACAACACTAAGTCAAAAAAACATGACAACACAGACATGAACATCGTAGGTGTCACCCACTTCAACATGGTCGGCATGCTAAAAAGTTAGCAACAAGTTATAGGTGATATCGTAATTATAATTGAAAATCAGAATCACTTGGTAATAACAATGATATTTTGCAATACTAAGGCGAGAAAGAAATATCAACGGAAACAATTAGATCAATAAAACTAATTGGTAATTGATTAAAAATACGCAATAATGATTATGTTGTTTTCTGTAGCCCAGCAATAAAACGTAACGAGGGACTGTTACACATCCGAACGCTGTAACAAAACAATTTACACGTAGTGCTATCGGTCACGTCGCGCAACTGTTAAGGAAATATCAAGAGTACAACTTTATTTTACGTTCCGTACTCCGTAATGGAAAGCCAGTTTAACAATAATTGTAAATATATTCAATCACAATCAGAAAAAAATGAAAATAATACAGAAACAGAATATATATTGTATAAAGGTACATATTGATATGTAAATACTATATATAGGTGTATTAAAGTTCCGTGATTACACCTGATATACAGGTGAGAAGGTACTTACCTGTGATGGTTGAGAAGACGGGGGGTAGGAGTATCCGAGGGGGGCCAAGGACATAACACTTGCCCACAATAGTAAGATAGTTCCCAAACGATTAAATCTTGAAGAGTTTCATCCGCAGTAGAGAAAGATCGAATACGGCCACCTTGTACACTCTCAAACACAAGTTAGTATAAATATTGACATAAAACTTTAGGGTCCGGTCAGAAACGCTGGTCTGGACACAGGGGCCGTTCAGTACACATTATACTTCGCCTCCATATACCAGTGAATTAGATGTCTCTTGTTTCCACAGATGTTAAATATTGACTTGACAAGGGACATGACAGCTCCGTGTAAGGGCTACCCTCCTCTCCACCGAGGGAATAAAGCAGTCTGATTGGCAGTCCTTACTCTCATCTAATGCATTTTATTGGCTAGCGTAATTGCGCGTGAGAAATGGCTTTACGATACGACGCCCCGCCCACTGACACGCCCACCGATGATTTAGTCTTGTTTACACGGGCAGCAGAATGGTGATAATTGCATAACGCTATAATAAAATTTGACATGGAACATGGCGGTTGTAGATGGGTGATAACTATGATGTAGCCGTATTACAGTACTCGATACCAGATCGGCTACATACCATTGTTTATGCGGGACGAGGGGAGGGTATTAACGTATAATGCAATGATAACATTATGTCTAGGTAAGGTCACAGAGATTTATTTACGGCAGTTACAGAGTAGGAACTGTCAACAAACAAACCGTGCTGATGGTCCGTTGTGTGGGAGGGGGTAGTATTTATATATGTACGGCATGATGAGAGGTGTTTCACGGACAATTAAAACGGCTACTGCCACTCTATAATTAATGCCTGTCCTGAAAACAAACGTTTTTAATGGAGGATATCATCGTAGGGTCGGTTTTAGCTGAAGAGCGTGTAATTATGTTTTAGGTACAATAGAGGCTAAAGAAATGGGTTCATGTATATGTCCAATATCGAAGTATGTGTATGAAAGTATAATAAAAAAGTGTAAACATAACACAAGTGTACCATAGGAGAGTATTAACATACTTATGTACCAAAAGTGTGTAAGAATACATTTGTATCAAAGGCGTGTGTAAGTATACATGTATATAATACGGGTGGGTAAGTTTACATGTGTACCATAGGAGTGTGTTGGTAAACATATGTACCATAGGAGTGTGTTAGTATACATGTGTACCATAGGAGTGTATTAGTATACATATGTACCATAGGAGTGTATTAGTATACATATGTACCATAGGAGTGTATTAGTATACATATGAACCATAGGAGTGTATTAGTATAGATATGTACCATAGGAGTGTATTAGTATACATATGTACCATAGGAGCGTATTAGTATACATATGTACCATAGGAGTGTATTAGTATACATGTGTGCCATAGGAGTGTGTTAGTATACATGTGTACCATATGAGTGCGTTTGTATACATGTGTACCATAGGAGTGTGTTTGTATACACGTGTACCATAGGAGTGTGTTAGTATACATGTATACCATAGGAGTGTGTCTGCATACATGTGTACCATAGGGGTGTGTTAGTATACATATGTACCATAGGAGTGTATTAGTATACATGTGTACCATAGTGGTGTTAGTATACATGTGTACCATAGGAGTGTATTAGTATACATATGTACCATAGGAGTGTATTAGTATACATATGTACCACAGGAGTGTATTAGTATACATATGAACCATAGGAGGGTATTAGTATAGATATGTACCATAGGAGTGTATTAGTATACATATGAACCATAGGAGGGTATTAGTATAGATATGTACCATAGGAGTGTATCAGTATACATATGTACCATAGGAGTGTATTAGTATACATGTGTACCATAGTGGTGTTAGTATACATGTGTACCATAGGAGTGTATTAGTATACATATGTACCATAGGAATGTATTAGTATAGATATGTACCATAGGAGTGTATCAGTATACATATGTACCATAGGAGTGTATTAGTATACATATGAACCATAGGAGTGTATTAGTATAGATATGTACCATAGGAGTGTATCAGTATACATATGTACCATAGGAGTGTATTAGTATACATATGTCCCATAGGAGTGTATTAGTATACATATGAACCATAGGAGCGTATTAGTATAGATATGTACCATAGGAGTGTATCAGTATACATATGTACCATAGGAGTGTATTAGTATACATGTGTACCATAGTGGTGTTAGTATACATGTGTACCATAGGAGTGTATTAGTATACATGTATATAATACGGGTGGGTAAGTTTACATGTTTAGCATAGGAGTGTATTAGTATACATGTGTACTATAAAGTTGTATTAGTATCAATGTGTACCGTAGTGGTTTGTTAGTATACATATGTACCATATGAGTGCGTTTGTATACATGTGTACCATAGGAGTGTGTTTGTATACACGTGTACCATAGGAGTGTGTTAGTATACATGTGTACCATATGAGTGCGTTTGTATATATGTGTACCATAGGAGTGTGTTAGTATACATATGTACCATAGGAGTGTATTAGTATACATATGAACCATAGGAGCGTATTAGTATAGATATGTACCATAGGAGTGTATTAGTATACATATGAACCATAGGAGCGTATTAGTATAGATATGTACCATAGGAGTGTATCAGTATACATATGTACCATAGGAGTGTATTAGTATACATATGTACCACAGGAGTGTATTAGTATACATATGAACCATAGGAGCGTATTAGTATAGATATGTACCATAGGAGTGTATTAGTATACATATGTCCCATAGGAGTGTATTAGTATACATATGAACCATAGGAGGGTATTAGTATAGATATGTACCATAGGAGTGTATCAGTATACATATGTACCATAGGAGTGTATTAGTATACATGTGTACCATAGGAGTGTATTAGTATACATATGTACCATAGGAGTGTGTTAGTATACATGTGTACCATAGGGATGTTAGTATACATGTGTACCATAGGAGGGTGTTTACATACATGTGTACCATCGGGGTGTGTTAGTATACATGTGTACCATAGGAGTGTGTTTGCATACATGTGTGCCATAGGGGTGTGTTAGTATACATGTGTACCGTAGGAGTGTGTTTGCATACACGTGTACCATAGGGGTGTGTTAGTATACATTTGTACCATAGGAGTGTGTTTGCATACATGTTTACCATAGGGGTGTGTTAGTATACATGTATAACATAGGAGTGTGTTTGTATACATGTGTACCATAGGGGTGTGTTTGTATACATTTGTACCATTGGAGTGTGTTAGTATACATGTATACCATAGGAGTTACATATGTACCATAGGAGTGTATTAGTATACATGCGTACTATAAAGTTGTATTAGTATAAATGTGTACCGTAGTGGTTTGTTAGTATACATATATACCATAGGAGTGTATTAGTATACATGTTTACCATAGGAGTGTGTTTGCATACACGTGTACCATAGGGGTGTGTTAGTATACATGCGTACCATAGGAGTGTGTTTGCATACACGTGTCCCATAGGAGTGTGTTAGTATACATGTGTGCCATAGGAGTGTGTTTGCATACACGTGTACCATAGGGGTGTGTTAGTATACATTTGTACCATAGGAGTGTGTTTGCATACACGTGTCCCATAGGAGTGTATTAGTATACATATGTACCATAGTGGTGTTAGTATACATGTGTACCATAGTAGTGTATTAGTATACATGTGTACCGTAGTGGTTTGTTAGTATACATGTGTACCATAGGAGGGCGTTTGCATACATGTGTACCATAGGGGTGTGTCAGTATACATGTGTACCATAGGAGTGTGTCTGTATACATGTGTACCATAAGGGTGTGTGAGTACATATGTGTTCCATAGGGTTGTGTTTGTATACATATGTACCATAGGGGTGTGTTTGTATACATTTGTACCATTGGAGTGTGTTAGTATACATGTATACCATAGGGGTGTGTTAGTATACATGTGCACCATAGGAGTGTGTTTGCATACACGTGTCCCATAGGAGTGTGTTAGTATACATGTGTCCTATAGGAGTGTGTTTGCATACATGTGTGCCATAGGGGTGTGTTAGTATACATGTGCACCATAGGAGTGTGTTTGCATACACGTGTCCCATAGGAGTGTGTTAGTATACATGTGTGCCATAGGAGCGTGTTTGCATACACGTGTACCATAGGAGTGTATTAGTATACATGTGTACGATAGGAGTGTATTAGTATACATATGTACCATAGGAGTGGATTAGTATACATGTGTACCGTAGTGGTTTGTTAGTATACATATGTACCATAGGAGTGGATTAGTATACATGTGTACCGTAGTGGTTTGTTAGTATACATATATACCATAGGAGTGTATTAGTATACATGTCTACCATAGTGGTGTTAGTATACATGTGTGCCATAGGAGCGTGTTTGCATACACGTGTACCATAGGAGTGTATTAGTATACATGCGTACCATAGGAGTGTGTTTGCATACACGTGTCCCATAGGAGTGTGTTAGTATACATGTGTGCCATAGGAGCGTGTTTGCATACACGTGTACCATAGGAGTGTATTAGTATACATGCGTACTATAAAGTTGTATTAGTATAAATGTGTACCGTAGTGGTTTGTTAGTATACATATGTACCATAGGAGGGTATTAGTATACATGTGTACCATAGGAGTGGATTAGTATACATGTGTACCGTAGTGGTTTGTTAGTATACATGTGTACCATAGGAGTCTGTTTGCATACACGTGTACCATAGGAGTGTATTAGTATACATGCGTACTATAAAGTTGTATTAGTATAAATGTGTACCGTAGTGGTTTGTTAGTATACATATGTACCATAGGAGTGGATTAGTATACATGTGTACCGTAGTGGTTTGTTAGTATACATATGTACCATAGGAGTGGATTAGTATACATGTGTACCGTAGTGGTTTGTTAGTATACATATATACCATAGGAGTGTATTAGTATACATGTTTACCATAGGAGTGTGTTTGCATACACGTGTACCATAGGGGTGTGTTAGTATACATTTGTACCATAGGAGTGTGTTTGCATACATGTGTGCCATAGGAGTGTGTTAGTATACATGTGTGCCATAGGAGCGTGTTTGCATACACGTGTACCATAGGAGTGTGTTAGTATACATGTATACCATAGGAGTTACATATGTACCATAGGAGTGTATTAGTATACATATGTACCATAGGAGTGGATTAGTATACATGTGTACCGTAGTGGTTTGTTAGTATACATATAT